TCATTTGCTTTAAGAAACACTGATTTGAGAGATAAGCAGAGTCATTGTAACATGCATTTTAGACCATTGTTATTTCAATTTCTATACATCAAAATGTGTGCATCAGAGCCAATTTGAGGGCATTATTTATTGAAACTGCTTTTCACAAGAGCAGTTAACATGTATAGCTTATGCTGCATCCTGACGGGGAAATATATCAGATTTTAAAAATTTAAACACAAGTATGACAATGTCTTTAGTAGGCTTTTTCAGGTGAAAATACTCTACATCTTAATGTACCTTTTTTTTGGATTTGTAAAACAAGTGTTCTAAATAAGATTTTTGTCACCTAAGCCATTTGCCTTTGAAATGCAGTAGCAAATGTAAATTTTCTAAAGAAAATATAGCTAAGAGATACCTGCAGTAAAGTAGCACAAATCTGTGTGAAAAACAGGACAAAGAAAAAATTTAGTGCCACAGATAAGATAGTTCCTTGAAACTAGTTTTTTCTTTCTATAGAAACATGATTGTCAAGAAAGAAAATATTTAGCAATAAGTGGTTTTTTTTTTTTTCTGTTTTGAAAGAGAGTAGGAAAAAAGTTTTAAAGTCTTATGTGATGTGTGAGGAAGAAAATACAGAGACCAAAATAAACTACCACAAGCAAAACAGTCAAAACCAGACTATTTTTTGTTTTCTTCTATAGCATATTTTCTTTCACCAAAAGATGCCTGTAGTGTCTGGTGAACAAATTACTCCATTGGTGAGTTGTGCTTCATAAATACTGGAGACTGGACCACTGACTTATTTGGAAGGTAATTCTCTCATTATTGGTACCAGTTTTGTCTGTAGAAAGAATATCTGCTAGTTATTCACAAATTTGCTCTCATGAGGGAACAAAACTTGACAATAAGGTACTGTCAAGATGTATGGCTTTCTAATTCAAGTTAAATATATTGATAAGTAACCCACCCACAAATCTTTTGAGCCCCTGCAGGGGTCCAGAGTAGGGAGTCCTACCTTTAATGTGAGAGGACAAGACAACGAAGAACCTAAAAAAAAAAAAAAAAAAAAAAAAGGTAGCATGCAGGTAGGAAAACAGTGTTGCTTACATTGAACAGATTTTGAACATCAAGAAAATATGACAAAGACAATATTTTCCCTAGAAGAATAAGTCTTGAATATAATAAATAAAAGTAAATCTAAACTTTTCTGGGTAAAATCAGGCATTGAATGAATTGTAGAGACAGAAGTGTTAAGCACTGCATATTCTTTTAAGACATATATGATGTGAATATTGCTGTAGTATGTAGTATTGTTTTAATATGATAATATCTATAATGTAGTAGTTCATTGTTTGTAGTATATTAATTAATCATTCCTAATATTCTTGTGTTCCCTAGTCTGGTATAAGTTCAGCAATATTTCTCAAGTACAATACTCATACATAAAATATATAATAACTCAATTGCATGTTCTAAATTTTTTAAATCAATAATTTTCCTTATATTCAAATATGTAGAAACTTAAAACAAAAACTATAACTCACATGATCCCAAAACACAAATAGAAGAATACTTGGGATTTTTCAAGATCCTATTTTCATAACAATGACCTCAAATGAATTAAAAGAAAAGGCATTTAAAATGCATTGTATATTTTAAGAAGTCAAATATTTATTTCCAGTCCTAGTTGCATGAAGCCTGTGGGAAGTTTGTATTATGAAGATCAGATGGTGCACTGATGTGAGAAATATTGCGAAGCATCCTGTTGATTGGCTCTAATTAACTGCAACGCTGTTGTGTTCCCAGTTTTAGCCGACACACACTGCACAATGCCTTTTATTTTGCCCTGAATAGATTTTTACTTAAAAACAGTTGATCTCAAAATCTATAGCATGTTGGCTTTTTGAAAATTTCATGAAATATTTTCGTGTCAATTTTAAAATATAAATTTGAAAACAGTTCTGAAACATCAAGAATAGTCAATTAAGTTAACAGTATTCATATGGTCTTTGCATAGATTTTGCATGTTTTATAAAGCATACTCACATTCTCTAGCCACATTTCTACTTCCTTTTAAAAGTTAGATGTCTGGGTAACAGTTTAAGCACAGAAAGCAATCTAGAGCATGCTGCTAACTTTTACTTCTTTTTATATTTATAATCAGAATGCTAAAGTGAACAAAACTCTAAAACATGGGACACAGAACAAGCAATGGGAAGGATTCAAGAATTAAAAGAATTAAATAAGATTCTTTACACTCACCTTCTGTGATGATTTAAGCTCAAGAAGTCCTGACAGAGAGAAGTCATGAATTTTCATTAACTTGACACATGTCATACATTTAAAAACAGTTTGATTTGCCCTGGGACCCCTGCATGTCTCTGAAGCACAGTATCAGCACTGTGCTGTGTTGTAGGTACAAACCTTATAAACTCCCAGAGCTCTAGAAGATATATTACTAATGTAAACAGGCCTTTGAGTGGTGGTGGGGAAGCATTAAATAACACGAAATTTCAAAAATATATATACAATTTAAAATAAAGACACTATTACGAGAAGCATCACACTTTCTGTCATTTTAAGGGTCATACATACGTTAGCCTTCTAACATAATGCAATTATTTGGCCCGAGAATTGGAAATAATTTTGGACGGGAAAATCCATAACCCAAAAATTAGGGCTAAGTCATTCATTTAGCCTTGCAGAACTTGATAGTAAATATATAGCTCTCTTTTTGTTCATATGAGAATGACATGTGATTTGTGTGAGCACAAAGTCCACAGTTTCAAAATGACTACCAACGTCCTTATCTTTGTCAGGAATAAAACTAAAAGTAATAAATATGGGTCAACCAAGACAGAATTGTACCCAAATAACATAGCTAATGGTTATCTTTCAAATATTTCTGTTCTTTTTGAAGTTGTGGAAAAACATTAAGATAGAGTAAAAATAAAAGTCAAGAGAGATTATTAAATGCAAAGTGGCAAATCACAGAAGAATAAAAATAAAGTAGCACCACAAATCCTTCATACAGTGGAGGAAACTGAGGCTTAAAGTGATACAGGGACTTTCTCAAGGTCTTTTAAGGACTAAGAAGTAAAGCTAATCTACAGGCAAAAGCCTTGGCTCCTGGCAGCTCTTCTGCAACTCTACAGTCTTTCAGCACTGCAACAGAGATGTCACTGAGATGTGGGCCGATGATACAATTAAGTAAAAAAATGTATGCATGTCCAAGGTATGTGCAGAATATATCAAATTAATCAGCCATCTTTACAGTGCAAACAGTCATTTTTCTTTAAAAAAATGCTTCTTTGAGAAATATCTTTATGCCTTTGTTCTTGGCAGACTCTGATGATTTGCAACTATTTAATAAAAGGTACTTCTTCTTAGCACTCTTACCCATAGCAGGTGGGTGAAAACAATCACCGTGTCAACGCACTGTGTGACTACTTGGCTCTCACCTTCAATCTGTTTTCCACTCTGCTGACAGCATGGCTTTTCTCAAATGTATATCTGATTAGGTTTGAATTTTTTTTGCCCCTTCAATTTTGCTTCCCACACTTTCTTTACACTCGCTCCAGCAATGTAAACTCTATATGACTCCAACATAATAATCTTCCTGTTGCCTCTTGGCCTTGTCTGTCTTTCCTCCACCTAAGACATCTAACAAAACCCTGCTCTTCCTTCAAGAATGAACTCCAGCATCACCTTTTCTTCTCCTGCCAAACTCTCTCTTTGGGATTCACTGTCTCTGGCATAGACTTCCAGTTACTTCATGCATGTCCTCAAGGTCAGTGACCCATATCATGCTTAATATTTTGTCTGGGATGAGCACTAGTGGATGTTTGCTGACTGAATAAATGAATCAACCAGAAGATATTTTTTTCTTATCAAAAAGTCTTCAAATCTTGGAATGATACCCTCTAGTTCTTCTCCATAATGTCTAACCTACATATACATTGACAATAGAATATCTGAGGCAACCTGATTTTTACTTCCACCAACAGCTTTTTAAATCATTTTCTCAAGGCAGTGAATTTTGATAGCAAAGTTGGTGATACAGTATGAAATGCTATCTTCATTTAAATGAACATAACAATCAATGTGTTATTTGTAACGACTATAAAGATATCCTTATATAAATAAGAAATGCAATCAGTGTCTCCATACCATGTGAGTGCTTCAAAAGAGAATTTCCCAATTTAAACAAATAGAATTTAGAGTGAAGAGTGAGATTGTACTGGGTTCTACTTCCATTTGATTCCATCCTGTCTTCCTCATCTTGCCAAAAGCTGCACAGATGCAAATCTCTTCTCAGGTCCCAGCTCCACTGAAGCTAGGATGTCTAGATCCATTTTCCACTTAAAATAATACACTCACGTTCATTGGAAAAAGGACTCACATTCAAAGTTGCAAATTTCTATTCTTTCCTTAACACATAAATCATCTTGAGCCAGGCCCCCAGGTTGACGAGGAAATGTTGAGGTAGCTGTCTAGACTAATGGAGAGATGAGAAGTCCCAAGCCTGAGGCTACTTCTAATATGAAGACCCCCACCGTGCCTTCACTCCACTGACACCCTTGTACCCCAAGGGTATGGATCCTACTCAAGGATGAGGACTGCTCAATGAGGAATAAGACTTAAGAGCACAGGAATATTAGACCTTGCTCCTGTGTAGTGGATCTGCTGTGGTCATTGGACAACCCTCTACAGAGTAGCCCTATGTGGAATTGTCATTAATAATTAACACTCACTTTTAAATCTTTTTCTGATTGATGAGGCCATCCTGGTAAGTTCTCACCTTTTCCTCCTAAAGAGTGATAAGACTTGGATCTTAGAGTGCAATCTCACATCAGCAGATCATTACCCTCTAGGATGGTAAAGGTCTTGAATAGTACATGTCTTACAGAAGGCTTAAATCTGGAATGTAATAAGAGATCAACTTGAAGGCTTTTCCAAGTAATTGATTCTTAAAAATAATTTTGTGGGGCTGGTGAGATAGCTTATTGGTCTAAAGCACCTGGGTAGGCAAGCTTAGGCAGCTGCAGGCGACCACAGTTCGATCCCCAGCACTATATGCTACACCATCCCCACCCCCAGGCTGGGCTGAACGGATATATATATATATATATATATATATATATATATATGCAGTGTCACCTCACAATTTTAACTTGCATTGGCAAGAAAGTGAAAGATACTCTTCTTGCTAACTAGTAAGGGATGAAGACATTTCTCTTGCAAATTAAACACACCTAGAATTTTTAAAATGCTATTGACATAAAAAAAGAAAAAAGCTACTGATACTCTTTTACCTTCACATTTTACATATCAGAAGAGATTATAGGGAAATAATGAAAGTGTTCCACAAATTGAATCAGAAAATATTTATTGAGCAAATATTATGTGCCAAGCATTGTATAAGGTACTAACAGCAGATATACAGAGAAGGAAAAAAGAGAGAGAAAGAATATAGTTACTTACATATCTAAACTTGAGAATATGAAATGTCACCACCTATCAAATCATCCTGATTTGGAATTTCCTTTTCTCCACTTGTTCTCTTGAAAGAAAAAACATTCCTAGTGGGGAATCGATAGTCAATATAAAAGTGTTCATCAGCATACATTTCGATTTCTAACAATAAGCAAGAAAAAAATACATCAACTTCTTCAACTTGGGCAAGACCATTTGGAAGTTCTTGATAACTTCTGAAAAGACATGGCTTTTGAGTTTTTCAGGGTGTGAAATGAATCTGTTACATGAAAATGACTCACGTCTCAAGAGCAAGTGACGATTTACATTATGAGCTAAGGAGATGGGGGCCATATTTGTACAATAAGGCCTTTTTGATTCACTGCTACTGCCATTTTCTCTCATTTCTGCCTAAATGAAGTTGGAAGATCATTCTGCCATTTGGTATTATTTAAATAATGAGACACAAATGTGTCATCTGGCTTCAAAATATTTTTCTTCTTTGGTAATGTTGATGACTAATGTCTATCTCCATTCTTTAAGAATATACTAATGTGATAATATACTTTTTGGAAAAAAATAGTTTTTTTATATCTCACATGTAAAGATTCCTTAGAATGTCAGTAAATCTTATAGATTTCAAAAATACATTTGCTAGCCTCCATGAACACTGATACTTCAGTGAATTGTACTTTTCTGTTCAAAAAGTGCTACAAGCCCTTTCACAGAGCGAGCCACCCAGAGAAAACTTCATCAGTGGAGCATGTGTACTTTTCCACGTAACGTACTATAAAAGTTATGGCCTCACCTTCAGTGGTGCCAGCTCACTTTAGATGCCCAAGCCACTCACAACACAGGAATAGCAAAAAATGACCTATCTTCCCAACAAAGAACCGAGGAACTCTTGCTTCATCCTTAGGATTCTTTTATGTTACTTCTAGATTTTGCAGCCTTAAGATCAGAACACTCATATTTGAAAAAGATGTATTTTGTTTTTATAATGCTCCTTTATGACAAATACCTACTTGCTTCAATCTGATGCAGGAAGAAGTATTTTTATATAACTTCAAATTCACATGTCTCTGAAAGTTGAGTGCCTAAATCTAATGGGTTTGGAAACAATTTCTCTATAAAAGCAAATACTAAAAGTCAGGAGTTCACTGAGTGATTCTCTATCAAATTTCATTTTCCCCTACCACTGTATAATAAAGGACATTTCCGGATTTTGCTCCCTATTAGTAATGAGAATCCTGCTGCCATTTATAGTGTTTTCAGAATGGGCACTATCAGATAAGGCACTCACAACTTGCTTCCCAAGGAAACTGCTAGAACTCCTGTACCTAAGTTACCTCTGAGCATTCCCCTCTTCCCCTTTCAGGGGTGAATTATCAGTGGCTTGTATCACAGGAAAGGTGAAAGATACAGAAACAGGGCTGATTGGTGGACCTGCCTTCTGCCACTAAAGTTTTTCTGGTACTTTCTAGATGCTACCTCAGGATTACATGAGTGATTCACTCCCCTTCTGGTCTCCTGGCAGCTAAATGGGAATACTGGAGAGTTGCCAGAAGGGTAGATAGCCAACCTGCTTGCCCTTGATTGTGCCTGCCAGCTTTTTAATAACAGAAGTAGGGTCAAGTAAGTGAAATCACGAACTGAGGAGAGTATTCTGAGAATGCAAAGGCAGTTAATGTCCTTCCAAGCCTCAGATGGCTGGCAACCCTTGGCAGAGTAATCTATGATTTGTGGCACCTGACCCTTCCACTGTGTCTGTTATCTGTGTATTCACTAGAAACATATTTACAGAATCTCTCCATTAGCAAAGATGCCTTGTGTGTGATTACCCAATTGTCATGGTCACACTAGGGTTTTGATACAGTTTCTATTCACAGATGAAAAACTGCACTAAGCTGCACACAGAATTGGTTTATAGCAGAGATCCTCAATCAGTAGATCAAGGTTTCTCCTGGTAGATCTCAAAGAGAGCATTAGGACAGCCTTGCACCCACCCTCCCTTCCCCACACACTGTACTCCACCACCTCTACCCAAGTGCAAGACAGAAACCTTCATTGACTTCTGTGAATCTTTACCAATTACCAAGTTATTAATTAATAACTAGGAATAAGAATGATCAAAGATGTTGGTCTATTTTAAATACACTTTGCCTCAGATAAAATCAGAGGAGAGCTTTACTGTGCTAGTGTTGCTCCTTGTTTATATAATACTTAGTATCAGCAAAGTATTCCCACTTAAAATCTTTTTAGTTACAAACACAAATGGAGTTTGGGTGCAAACTGGCTTTCTTTCTTCAAAAAGAATCAAATATAAAGAAAAAAAGTTTAAATATTCTCTCTGGGACAAGTGACCTTGATGAGAGTAGTTACTATTTTAAAGTTTGTGGATTTAAAAAGTGGTGTTGCCCTCTTCTCCCCGCAGAAATAAATGGCACGGAAGACTTCCGCGTCAGAAAATTCCTCTTGCCTACACTCCGTGTCGGCAGACCCACTGGGCACAGTGAAGTGTCTTAGGGAATCGAATCAAACACAGTGGGAGCAAAAAACGGTCATGGATCGAAATGGAAGAAAGGAAAACCCGGACATTGTCTCCAAGACGAAGAAGTACCCTGAACAAGGCAAATAAAGATGACAAACTCTACCACATAAACAAAGATAGTAAACTTTCTCAGATCAAGAAATACTAAGGTGACCTGACTTGATAGTGAATGCAGGCGACCCTTGAAAACTGCCGAGGTTAAATGCCCAAGCTCCTAAAGACTTGGGCAACTGGCCCTTCTCAGGACATCCAGGGCTGGGCTTTGAGCGTCTGAGCCTAGAGGAGGGACAAGAGGCCTGTCCTCGACACTCGGGCCTAAAGGCTCGCTGGCTGCACGGATGCCCGCCGGACCTTAGCTAGCTCAGGGGAAGTCTCTGCGGAGCTCAGCACGCTTTCCCTCCACCCCTGGGGGTCTGCTGAACTGCGGGACAGGTCGCACAAAGCTAAGTCCGGGTGGAGGCCACAGGGGATCCCCAAGGACAGCTGTGCCGTGAGAGCTAGACGCCTAGAGGCATCCATTCCGCCACAGGAGGACCGACCCGGACAGACGCCCACTGCCTGGAGCGCACGCAGGATCAGCCAGTCGGCGGGCGCGCGGGGGTGGAATAGCTCGGCCGCCAGCCTGGCTCAGGCGCCGGGGTGGGGACTTGGCGGGAGCTCCCGGACTGGGGGCGCCCCTCGCAGCTGAAAGTCATCTCCACACAGTTCGTCTCTGGCGACTCGAATTCAACCCCTGCGAAGATGATCCGGGCATTAGCGAGTAACAGGGGAAGAAAGAAGAGTTATTTGAATGGGGGAGGGGACGGGCATGAAGGCTAGCAGGAAACCACACAAGAAAAGAAAGCCCCATCACTACCAAAACCGTTTCTAAGCAGTCCTGAGGTTTTGTGCCTAGAGATTTCATTTTAAAAGCTGAAAAAAAATATTCCACTGCTTTTAATTGAAGTAAACAAAGTGCAACAAATCCTAACTCAAATATGATTGCAGTGAGATTAGGGTCTAATTGCTTAGGGTTCAGGTGGAATCCGCGGGCTAAATCCTACAGGGCCAATCTGAATTTCGCAATCATTCTGTCAAAAGGAGAGCGATGAGAGCCCACACGCTTCCTAACAAGTCATTTTTAACAGTTACAAGCTTCGCACAAAGACCACACAGGGCGTCTAAGAGATGCAAATCTAATCCCTGGTCATTCTACAGACCTTCAACAAAGATGTGCTAAACCCTAATAGAAAAGAAATCAGTTCTCTGTCACCAGCCCCTGGTAAAATCTATTAGAGAAGGGCCGGAGCCGCATCTACAGCAGTTGCTGCAAAGGTTAAGGACAAGTACAAATAAGAGGGACCCAGTTTTGTTTTCCGTGTGAAATATCGGGAGAAGCTAACCCCAAAAGAGTGACGGGATTCGATCCGTGGTTTCGCATTCATTTGAATGCTAGAGAAAAAAAAATAATAATAAACGCACACATGAAGACTTTTGAAGATACCAGTTTTGAATTTAGGAGACATAACAGCCATCATGGAAATCTCTGCCTCCAAAATTATGAGAGAAATAGGACGGGAAGGGAGCGCGCGGGGCGCGGAGGAAAGACGCGAGCGCCCCGGCCGGGACTTGGCCGCGCTGACTCCGAGCCGGGCGCCCGCGGTTCCAGCGCAGAGCCCAGCGGCCGAGCCACGGCCGGACAGGACTCGGGACGCTGTCGCCGCCCAGCCGCCGGGGAGCGCAGGGCGCGGATGGCGCAGAGGGACGGCCACACTCTCCCTACGGGAGCGGAGTAGCGGTCCCCTCCGCGACCTCCCGCGCCTGCCCCTGCCAAGTGCAGACGGAGCCCTGGCCTCGCCGCCCGTGAAGCGTCGCAAACGTGCTCTGCGGCGGCGCGGACAACTGCAGCCCGGAGTCATGCTGGGGCTCTCAAAGAGTTGGAGTCGGCTAAAACGTATCACAGTGTGTGCGACCCTCTGAAAAGGAAGGGCCTTGGGACCTCAGGTTGGGGATGAGGCGGGGGCTTCCTCCAAGCCCCCAGGAGCCCTGCGAGTCCGGCCTCCTGCTGCGCCGCCGTCGCTGGGCTCCAACCCTGCAAACTAGGTTGGGGCGGGGGCTGCCTGCAGAAACACGCAGGGCCGGCAGTCCCGTAAGGGCTCGACCCCCGGAACCCGCTTTCTATGCTGGAAAGTTACTGAGGGCGCGAAATTGAGGGCCGGCCTAGGATTTGTTGCTAGATACAGCAGAGTTGCCCCTCTGTGCTCCTAAGCAGCTGGGGCCCCTACACGTAGCGCCTCCTTCTAGGCAACGCTTATGGGGTCTAAAGGGGGCGCTGTCCGGCGTCCAGGGTCGGGAAAACTAGAAAGCTCCCCTTTTTCCAATGGCCTTTCTCTCAACAGCCGGAAGGAGGGCGGGACACGTGTCCGAGAAAGAAATTTTATCTGCTTTTAGGAAGGCTCCCAGAAGATACTTTCTCTCTCTCTCTCTCTCTCTCTCTCTCTCTCTCTCTTTCTGTGACGCACCCTTGGACTCCAGGACCCCTCAAAATTGTAAATCCACGAGTTCGGAGCCTGGAGCTGTCCAAACAGAAGGAACAAGATGAAGCAGGGGAGATAAACGCCAGCCCCGACCTCTCAGCTCCACAGCGATCACATGTGCTCTATCAAGACGGTCCCTACTCTTAAGGCCGGGCACTGAAAGGCAGAGCTTGCCCTTAGACTCGAAAACAGGCTGCTACACACAAACCGTACTTCTGTATCTGCCTCCTCCCATTCCACTGGCTGCTTGTCCGTCCTAGGTGTGTGCCTTAGGCGGGCGCTGCTCTCCTTCCTCCCCAAAGACCGACATTAATTGAATTTCTCAGACTGAGGCTTCTCTTTGCTTCCTCTATCTTTTTTTTTTTTTTTTTTTTTTTTGCCCTCTGACAGGCTGACCTTGGCCATTCTTTGCTTTTCTTACTTTCCAACTGGCCTTCCCTAGGGACCCTGCTGGCTTTCATTCTTTATAGCTTAGCCCGTTCACTTTATCCGCTTTTCCTTTTGGTACTGACATTAGGAAAATGGTACCAAATTGCCTACAAAGCGAGACTGCATGACTTCAGCTACATGGCTGGAATTAGACAAAAAAGCAAGTAAAACACAGACATTGAAAGGAAGAGATGGAAGATGAGGGAGGATAAGGAAACAAACAAAAAGTAGATAATCAAGTTACATCAAACTATAAATACAAAAATTGCACTGCTCCTGCGGATGATCTGTAAGTCCTAGTGGGAGTCTCCCATATCTACATGGGGAGTCAGGGCAGGGGACCACCCCAGCGAGGCTGGGCCAAGGCCTCCTCTCTTTCACTGAAGCTGCACCTGGAGCCTGTGCTACCGATTCTGAGCTTGTGTGTCAGGAAAGCGTGGAAGGATGCACACACATCAACCGTAACTTCTAGAAACAGTCATGCAGTCACCATGCTCTCAGGGAAAGTGTTGGTGGCTGAAGCTTCCTGTCCTGGGAGCCTGTCCTGGCTTTCTGTGGATCTAGCATGCCACATGCCTGTGCACCATCTCTGTCCACCTAGCCAAGCCTAAAGCCCTATCCTGTGCCCAAGCAGTTTGAGTCCTGCTGGTCCCAGTCTTAGCCTGCCTTCTTTCAGTTGAGGCAGTTTGGTTCTCCCCATTTGCAGAACTACAGAGCTTAGAGTTTTCCTGCTACTGAAAGCATCGCCTGAGACTCAGCCCTTCTCTCTGAGGACAGTGCCTCTGGACAACTTTCCCTTAGCCAAAGAACAGGCTCTAGAGAGAAAAACATGTTAGGGACATGTTAGAGAGGTGTAGGGAGAGAGGATGCTTTTAGATCCTCGAGGTCTCTGTTTTTCCCTATTTGATATTGGAGTTTTTAGGAAGTTTGGCAGAAGATTGAGCAAGCCAGGTTAGGAGCTGCACAGATTTGAGCACAGTCACTCACCTGCCTCCCACCCCTTTCCATTTCTCAGCTGACCATCTTCCAGGGGCCTGATATTTTCCAACAACGTTTAAAAACACAGCATTTGTCTAGGAGCCATTAACCTGGGGTTAATAACCAAGCCCCATTTGAAATAAAAATAGAATCAACATTAATCATATTCTACTATTTAGATTGAGGTTTTACTAGGTAGGTCACTAGACGCTGTTATCGGAGGAGCAGAGGAACCTCACTTTTCCTTAAGAAAACTTGCTAGAGAAACAGCAGCAGTTGCTGAGCTTTTCTTTTCTTTTCCTTTCTTTTCTTTTCTTTTCCTTTCCTTTCCTTTCCTTTCCTTTCCTTTCCTTTCCTTTCCTTTCCTTTCCTTTTTCTTTCTTTCTTTCTTTCTTTCTTTCTTTCTTTCTTTCTTTCTTTTCCTCAAAGATTACTCTCATCTTTTTTTGTAAACGTTCGCTTCAGGTTAGAGTTTGCATCACTGTCGCAAGCGAGTCATTTAATATCCTTGTGTTCACGTGAATAAACAGATCAAAATTCACGGGAAACTCCTACTCTCGCGCACACCAGGCAAACGCAAAATTTGTGTGGTTTCCCGAAGGTTTGGTGGCCCGGTCGGCAGGCGGCGCGGCAGAGGCCGTTCCTCGCGCGGGAACCGGATGGAATCACCGGCTGGGGTGGGGCGGGCTGGGGGCGACGTGGGATAGAGTGAGTGGAGAGACTGCGGCTGTGGCGTCGGTGAAGAAGAAGCGGGCAGGCGGGGTGAGGCCTCAGGATGGGGGGAGGGGTGGGTTAAGGGTTGGGGGTTGGGTTAGGAAAGGGAGGGCACTCTGGGCAGGAAGGGGGAGGGTGCCGACAGATGCTTCTCTTAATCCTGGAAACCAAAGTTTCCACGAGAGACCATAAAAAAGCTCACGATTTCAAGTGCCCACACTTCCCATAGAGACCCTGACAACCAATTTGGAACCGCAGGGCCACGAAGGGTCCCCAAGACTTTGGCCATGGAGCTGGGAGGCCGGGATTGTTCCTTGGGCTTTCTTCCTGGCTCTGCAGGTCCGTCCCTCAGCTTCCCCAATAGCCCCCCACTTCAGGTAGGAGCTGTAGGGCTCCAGGTTGCAAACTTTAGCCCCAAGCAAAATCTCTGGCGGACTTCCTTTAAAAATAAACTCGAATTTTTCATCAAATCTTTTTTACCCAGTCCATTCTTCATTACAAGACTGTTAGGCAGCCGGAGAAGAAGCACAATCAATGTGGTTGTTCTGTCACCTTTCTGGCTGTTTTTTCCTCCCAACCACGGAGTCTCTTTCGATTTTCTAAGCAATTAAGTTATATATTCAACAGGAATATTCCATTTAAAATACATTGCGACTAAAGACACACAGGTCTGAAGCCTGAAGAAAATATTTAGTGCTTGCCTAGGGATCCTGTCACCCATCATCTGCTCGGAATGTGCTCTGTATCTTTCAGCCAGCGTGTCCAGCTCTTATGATTGCAAATGGCCCTGTTTTCAAATGGAAATAAGACTTGCAAACTGATTATGTGTATTGAATCAGAATCACTCCCTAGATCCTCTTGTTTAAAATGTATTGAAAAAAGGATGATGGCTGCAGACCTCTGAAACCAGCTCCCTCTCTTTTCAGGGAGGTCGATCTATTTTGCAACTTTTTGCCATTTGAGCATGTTTCAGCCAGATAATTACGTGGCCATTGTGTTACCAGCCCAAAGCTCAGACGTGGTACACACACCACCTCCCAGCCATCCCCAGGCTCTCTCCATTAGCCTATGCCTTAAATACTACACACCCGCAGCACACACGCATCCAGCCACCCCAACCTCTGACCCGGCTACAACCAGCACATCAGCTGTCACAAGGGGAACCCCAGACACTTTTTACCAGGCCCATTTCCCTGTGTCCTTTCCAAACCGCTCCTCTTCTGGTGTTCCAATGAGGAGTACCACACACATGAAAATCTCCAGCATTCAGAGACAAACAACTAACAGATCTAAGTATTTAGTCATATCAAGAGTCGTTCAACAGCTAGTTTGTGCTAGTGTGACATTGCAATTGTTCAAAAATTGTTCACACAGGAAGGTTAATGCCAAGGCACTTTTACACTACCACAGGTCTCGAAGATTTTCTCTATTCCCATCCAGGGCTGCATTATGGGCTAAGTGTGAGTTGGTTTTTTGGTTACTTGTTTGCTGGAGGCTCTCCTGTTTGACTTCAGTATGAAACCAGTAGTCTATGTGGATGTGTAGAGAGGCATGTGAGCTTTGCCTGCTTTATGAGATGTGAGTGTAATACAACTCAATGCTTTGGGGATTTACTGCTCCTGGGCCTCTCTGCCTCAGTAGAGCTGCCAGGGAGCACGAATCAATACTCCAGCTAAGACTGCAGGTCTGTGGGTGATAATGAACCAACTATATCTTCTATCTGGCCTGGCTAGAGATGAGAATATGTGCACACCTGTGAAGTGAGGGCCTATGACTCTTCCTGAAACCCAGTCAGAGCAAGGGAAGGAGAAAGCTGTCTCAGCCCAGCAACCTCCTCCCCCATCCAGGCTTGCAGACCTTGAGGCACCTTGGAGTGGCCAGGCAAGGAGAGATTTTCTCTTCTGAGGCTGGAATCTCCTCTGAAAAAAAAAAAAAAAAAAAAAAAAAAAAAAAAAAAACCTGTCACTACAAGTCTGTTTTGGGACTTGGTTCTCAGGATGCATTTCCAAGGCTCACACTCCACATAGGCGTAGTCAGTCATTAAACATTGTCCAGGAGTTCTGAGTTAGGGCAGAGCCAGCATTGAGCTCAGAGGAACCAGCTTAGTCCTCTTCTTGTCGTTAGGATAATTCCCAGGTTTACATCTTCACAGGCACTCAGCTGAGTGTGTGCCAGGAGATCAGGTAAGTCAGCAGAACACGGGCCAAAGATATCCTTGTTTTCCTAAAGCTTTGGACCTTTTGAGCAGCATCACTAGGAGGGAGAACAGAAGGCCAGCTGAAGACTGCCTGGTTCTGGGTGACTTTGCACAGAATGACTCCAGTGCACAGGGACAGGAGAAAGGTATCTGAGGACACTTTTCATGATTTGATATCTCTGGTTTTCTAGAAATGAAATTATCAACAATCACCCCCCAAAATTGCAATGTTTAACACATGGAGTAATAACCTGCTGTTACTGATAACTACCATCGGGAAATCAAAGACAGGATTCCCCCAACATGTGAAATGTGTGTGTGTGTGTGTGTGTGTGTGTGTGTGTCTTTCTTCTTGTGTGACAGCACTCAGACCTGCTCTCTTATTTCTGCTGCCATGCAAAGGCCAAAATAAGGAGGACTTTTGCTATATATGGGGAGCAGAAACATTTCCCTTTTTATTAGCTTAGTTTCTGCTAGCTGAGCAGTAGTGTTCATACGAACACGTCTATTTGTGGATAATGTAAGTTCAGCATGGGAGAACAATTCTTGTTATCAATTGTTTCAGGAAGTCTCATCCATAGCTGTGTCTCAGGCACCAACTTCAAATTCTTTCAGAACAACTTTTAATATTCTCCAGCATAATTAGCTCTCCAGAATTTCCCATGACACTAAATACATATTCCGACTTGAAGTGGGCAAAACTAAAGTTTGTTTTTTATTTCTAAGGGAACTAACTTTGGATTATATCTTAATTGAGGCTATATCTTAATCATCTTTTTTTTAATCTAATAGGTTCTATAAAATCCAATTATATATGAATTTTTGTTGAAATCTCAAAAAGTATAAGAAACATACACATGTGTATAAGGTAGACATTGCTTCTATAAATGCACACATATATACATACATCAACACACATCTACATGCAATCACTTGTACCTGCGCACAGAGTGAGCAGAATCAGATGTCAATATTTGTCAGAGGGAAGAGTTCTTTTTCCCAAGTCCTAGCAACCACTATGTTTATGTTTTATTTATCATTCAGGCAAAGTAATACAGTGATCAATCTATATTACACTTTTCTGCAAGTAACAGAGAGGAATAAAACAGGAAATATTTTGAAACCTCACACTTGCCAAAACTTTGCCACAAGTCACAATAACAAAGGTAATAAGTGTTTAGGAAGCAGAGAGGCTGTGCATGAGAAACATTATCCAAGGAGGAAAGGGATGGCTGCTGGGGACACTCTCCAAGTTGGGTGTTAGGTCACTGTTGGAGAGAAATGCAGCCTGCCACTTCATCTGTGGCCACTCCTTCTGATGCCTCTCACTGAGGAGACTCCAGAAAACTTTCTGGGCTCCAATTTGTGGCAAGGTCCCAGATTGGGACTCCTAGGTGGCCTCAAGCCCCAACACAAATGCACAAGGAAGCAAATCAAGCAGCCAGGAGGGCAAGGCAGTGTTTCCCATCCCCAAGTGGGATCTAGCAAGCAGGAAAACTTCGGGCCTCATCCATCCCAATACCCATGTGCCCCTTCATTCCGTTTATAAAGGAAGCTGTGTCAAACAAACCAGCAAAGCCTCTACGAATTGTGTCATCGCAGATTCACATTTCCCAGTGGGCTTCCTAGCGCTGCACAAATAAAATCGCCCGCTCACTCCGCTTCCTCACTCTAATAATTGGAGGGTGGGGGCTGGGAGGGGGGCTACGTCTAGGGGGACCGTAGACATCCGATCAAAATTCAAGGCAGCTTCTCACAACTCTTCTTGTTTATAGAAAATGAATGTCTGCCTGGCTTGCTTTAGTTCGGGAAGGGGGGTCAGTCTTTATCAGCATAGTTCACACATCTCCTGGAATTTTTTTCCCCTTATTTTAAATTGACCCACTTTTAAGATAAAGACATAATAGAAAAAGCATCGACCTTACCTGGTCCCTAATGAGGTGGAAGTCAGAAAATCTCGCTCTCATTTCCTCTCGTCTCGGATTGCCCGAGCCTGAGAAGAGACTCGCGCCACCTCGTGTGTACTGGTGCCTGGAGCGAGCCCGGCACGGATGCCCGGACGCGGTGGAGCGCGCCCTCGGGGCGTGTGCGGCTTCTCAAAGCTGAGGATTCTTCCCAGAGAGACTGCGATGCCAGATTCGGGCACTGCCACTGCTGCTCCCTGGCCCAGGCCCAGGAGGATCTTAACTCCCTCCGAGGACTCCCAGCAAGTCTAGCTTTGAAAAAGGGCTAAGCCCTAAGCAGTGGGGAAATCTGCCTCCTGCGAGGCCCTGGGGCTGGAGTGCAGAGCCTCAGGGCCCCCAAGACTAGGTGCCCTCTAAGCTTCTCGCGAAGTGTGCCCGGCCTGGCTTGGATTTCACCAGTGAGCCCGCGTTATTGCCTTGTCCCGAGCCACTGTCCCGGCCCCCACCCACTCCTTGCTCTCACCAGCCTAGCAGCCTTGAGGATCCCGGCTTGTGACCCGTGGTGGCGGCTGCAGCCCAGGATCCCTCCCTCCCCAGCGAGGGCATCTCTGCCCGGCTCTTCTCGCCTCCCCTGAGCCCAGCCCAGTGCGCGGCCCGCCAACTGAGAGGGCTGCTTTCCTTCCTTCCCGGCCCACAGCTCGGGGTTCCCAGGCTGGGGCGGGGGTGGGGAGCCGCTTTGGGATGCTAAACATCAAACAAGCCAAGCCTGGGGTTTCAGGCCCTGAAGCCACTAGAGCAGCTCTCCAGGGCTCTCGAGAAAGTCCTCGTGTTTACATGGCAGCGGGGGTGGGGTGGGGGAGAGTAAAGAAGAGGGGGTGGGATGCTGTCTGCAAAATCTCCTTTACTCCGGGAGTGGGAGAGTTAGGGGGTATTTTCGAGGGGGCAAAGTTTTTCAGGGATCTCTGGAGGAACTGTTCTGTTCTCACAGGAGGAAGTTTTCTGCCTTTCCAGCACCTCAGGGCCGGGTACTTCCAGAATGCTGATTTCCCCTCCAGGGAAGCCAGAATCCACCTGGGCCAGGGTCGCTAGAGATCCAAGACAGTGGTCTCCCGGAAAGGAGGGACACTGGCTTCCCAGAGGCTGGTGGACCAGGTTGTGTGGGTGGAGGGTGTCACCAAACTGAGAACCCTCCTGCGCAGAGATAAGCGAGAGAGATGCTTCAGACCACGTTCCTTGGCTGCTCCCTGAAGCTGGACACATCCCCCAGCCAGGAGCAGGAATGGGTGGACCCCAAGTGATTGATAGGAGAAGAGGCCGAGGCCCTGTTTTTCTAGGTCCTAGCCTCAGACCCAGCCAAATTCACCTTTTCTCGGGACAAGTAAACAGACTTCAAACTAAGCCGGCGGCGGGAAGAAGAATGTGTTTGTTAGAAAGTCCACCCAGCACCACGGGGTGATAAGGCCAAGAGAACCACACAACACGCTGAAATTGTGACTCGGGGGAGCTGCTTGGGGGTGGGCAGTAAATGTGGGAAGGGAAGGGGCAGTCCCTGGGCTGCAGCCCTGCTCCACCCACCCAAGCCCTGAGCATCCAGGCTTGTGCAGCTTTGTGGTGGTTGGAGCCAATCTCCCACCTCACAGAATCCGGGTAGTAGGGCCAAACAGCTACCACAGTGCCCGCCTCCCTTACTCCTGAGTGCCTAGGTGCCTAGGCCACCTATATTCCTGGCCTCAGGAGATCTCAGACCAGTCACCATGCATTGTAACACAGGTGCTCAAACTTTCCTGATTTTTGTACAGTAAGTATAAATCAGCACACTCACTAGACCCAACTAACCATCCTTCCAAAATCTCCAGGTCTCTTCAAGATATCGCAAGCTGAACTACAGTATGCAGGCCTGGTTTCTGCTGGAAGAAAGCCCTTCCTGACCTCCAGTTCTAAGCTATCCCTGGAGGGAAGATCCCTAGAAGTTGGGGAAGAGGACTGTTAGATGCAGCCAAGAACGCGGCCAATCTGTTGCCTTTGGAGGTGGTGGTGGTTCTGATGGTGAGGAGTTGGAGACAGAGAGAAATAGAGAGAAAAGTAAAAGGAAGGGAGGCAAGAAAGAAAAAGTCTAGTTGAAAGTCTAGATGGGAAGCCAAAGAAGAATCAACCCCCAAACAAACCTTCCAGGTCTAAAGGAAAGTGCTTGGAGGGATCTGTCTGCAGCCTACTGGACTGCCTGCCCTTTGTAGGCTTATCAAGGGATAACAGCCCATCAAAACCACTGACTTTTCTGTCTACAGCCACTCCTTCCATCACAGCCAGTCTTCACCCCTCATAGCAGTCTTGATGGTTCTCCCAACACATATATCTTGAGATCTCAGACTAGGAAAGTAGAAATTACAAGAAAAGAAGTAAAATGATTTTTTTTTTTTTTTTTTTTTTGCTGGGGTTGGGAGGAGGTGGAAGAGCTGGGACCAGGAAAAAGATGCTCTGTTGCAAAGATGTAGGAGCCCAGTGTTGGAAACAGTGGGAACAAGATGTGTAATCACAGCCCAAAATCCTGTGGCAGGCATCGGCAGTCCAGCATAGACCCATGCCACAGCCGCTGAAGTGTGTGTACGGGGTCAGATCCCTGAGTGTGGTTTGCTGTTTTTGAAATAAAACCCACAAAGACTTCAATTTCATATAAAGCCACCCACTAAATTCTAACTGTGGAGGAGCTTGGTGGCAGATCAGAAACAACTAACTTGATGTTCAAGTCTAGAGAAGCAAGTTTCATTTACTAAAAATGAAACTCATTCAGTGCTCCCTCAAATGGAAGTCCTGGCTCACTGTTTTTTTAAATGTTGCCTCAACTCAAGAGCACAGTAGGTAGTTTCTGGGTTTCCAAACACAGAAGCCTGACTTTGAAGATGTGGTCTGTTTTTCTTCCTCTCTGCCCTGCCTCCTGGCAGAGGCGGTTGAGCTTTGCTCTCCCCCAGTGTCTAGGACCGCTCACGATTTGGTTGCCCTTAGTCCTAAAACAGAAAATTCCCTCTTCCCGTGGGACATTGACTCTAGGTCTGACCTCCTTAGCCAACTCAGAATCCTTTGAGCTCAAACCCAAACAATTCAGATCCCATCACCCCAAAGATGAATTCCCCCAAAAAAGCCATTTAATGTCAAATCAGAATAAAACAAAAAGATGTTCTTAATCAGAAAAAGAACCTTTTTAATTTGTATAATTTATTAGAAGCTTCTTAGGAACTATATTTAAGCCAATTATCTACATAAGTTACAACAGAAAAAGACTGACGTGGCAAATTCCAAACTGCCAAATAATATACACAGATTTATCAATGCCCATTTTAAAAAAATGTGAGGGGCTGGAAATAGGAAGGGTTTTTTTTTTTTGTCTTTACAACAAAAATGTACAGATTACTAAAAACTAGGCATTTAATCCAACTTTTGACAGGATTTTACAGCTACAAGTTCACATCAAACATAAAACAATTTTCTAGGCGGGGGATAGTTGGGCTGAACCTAAATGGCTAAAGGGCACCTGGGAAGGGGCACTTCCTTTCTGTCATTGATGAGTGGGTTATGTCAAAGAATCTTCCCTCTCCCCAGCTCCCGTTCTCTTTTCTTAAAAAAAAAAAAAAAATAGAAAGAAAAAGAAAAAAGAAAAGAAAATCCTGGTATTTACAAGCAAGTCCACTTGCTGAAAAAGTGTGCCCAGTCAAGTCGAGGTCTTTGGGGTCCAGATCCACAGTAGTGTGGAGCCCTCTCCAAATTGTGCCCCACCCCAGCGTGAAAAACCCTTTAGGACCACCGAAAAGACACCCCCAAAGCTTTTTTTTTTCTATGTCTTTCTGTGTTTAAAGACTCCATAAGGAATTGAATTGAATATTTGCTTGGCTGGTTTTATTTTCTTTTTCTATTAAAAAAAATCCACAGATTTTAGATAGGAAAAAATAAAAAAAAGAAAGACGTCCAGCAGTTTGGCCTTTGTGTAGTTTTCCTTGGTCTAAACTCGGACAGGTTCTTAAGAAAAGTCAGAGCGAGTGGAGCAGCGGGTGGACGGTGGTCTGTGTGGCGGGCAGAGGAGGCGCGGAGAGGCGGCCCGCCGGCTTAGGGCCTGCCGCCAGTCCTCTCACCAGGTCCGACCGTATAGCAAGGTGGAGCAGGACATGGTGCCATAGTCCGAGCCCGAAGAGTTCAGGTGGGACAAGCTGGAGACCTGGCCTTGCAGCGCTGCGGGGCTGGCGGCGTGGTGCGCCAGGTCCGGGGACTGGCCCGCGCTGCCGGGCTGGTGGCCCGGGTGTGCACCCAAGCCGGCGCCACCGCTGCCCACTGAGATAGCCGCCGCTGCCGCCTGGGCAGCTTGCGCCTGCTGCTGCGCCTGCTGCTGTGCATGGCCTTGCAGGCTGGCTGCGCCCGGCGCGGGGGCGCCCGCCTGGCACGGTTTGCCGTCTTTCACCAGGACCGGCACAGCCACACGGCGCGGCGACTGCTGCTGAGCCTGCTGCTGTTGGGGACATCCGGCGCCCCCGCCGCCCCCGCCGCCGCCGCCGCCGCCGCTGTCCTGCTGCAATTGTTGTTGCGCCGCCTTGTCCTTGGCCTGGCGTTTCATTTTGTAGCGGTGGTTCTGGAACCAGATCTTGACCTGCGTGGGTGTCAGGTGGATCATGCTGGCCAGGTGCTCGCGCTCCGGTGCAGACAGGTACTTCTGCTGCTTGAAGCGTCGCTCCAGCTCGTACACCTGCGCCTGGGAGAAGAGCACCCGGCGCTTCCTGCGCGGCGCGCTTGGCAGTGGGGCCATGTTCTTGCTCACGTCCCCCAGCGAGCCCAGGCCTCCCATGCCGCTCATGTTCATGCCGCTCGCTGGGCCCATGAAGCGGGAGACTGTAAGCGACAAACGCATAGCGTCGGCCGGGGCCGGGGCCGGGCTTCCGCGCCCCTTGGTGGCCCGCCCGGCCCGCCCCGACGGCGCCCTTCGCACCTAGGCCGTTTGGAGCCTGCTGGTGAGGCCCAGCCGCTGGAGATCGTTAGCTCTGCCCGGGGCAGGGCGGTGGGAGAGTGTGCCGGAACAGCCCGATCAACCCTGGCTACACCCTCCCATCTCAGTATTCCCCTTGCGACCCAAAAAGCGCAGAGAGGTGGGGGTGAGAGGCTGCTCCCGCTCTTCTTTGCCCTAGCCCTGTTGGGGTTGGCTGGCCACAGGCGGCGAACTGAGCTCAGGCAGGGACTTGGGATCCGACGGTAAACCTCCAACTTTGGAAGGTTAGGAGAGGAGGGTACTCTCTTCTGAAGGTTCAAACCCTCACACACTTTGCCTCCTCGCTTCTCTGATGTAGGCCCCAGCGGAGGCACCTGCTTGGCCCATTTAGAGCCCCCTCTGGCGCCGAGCAACCTCCAACCCGTCCAGACTTCGCTGGAGAGCGCGCCGGGCCGGGAGCTCCAGTGCATCCCGCCGGGCCGCCTTTCTCCCAGCCAGGCCCTGCCTCGCCGCACCCTGCGCGCCCTGGATCCTGTAGCTCAGCTTGGGGGGCCTCCCTCGGCCCTCGGAGGTCTTCCCGCTGAGCAAAGCTCCCACTTAGCAGCGCCTGGAGGTACTGAGTATCAGCACCTGTCCGCAGGATCCCAGTGCTACCAAGCGTCTCTTCTTGGACAGCCCGCCCCCCAGCCCAGCAGGGGAAAGACTTCCAAGTTCCCGTACCCAACTCCCCGGCGCCCTTGCCTGCAGCCCACCCTTGCCT